AAGGAGTTTAAGTGTTTTGATGTATAATATGTCAGGAATGTGAGTTTTGAAAAAAAAAGGATAAAACAATATTCAGTTTGAATTTTACTACACATGTTAACTGAGAAATTAAACTGAATACATTAACAAACAGTAATTATTCTTCTATATTTTTATATCTAGAAGGTTGTTCTTAATATACCGCGTATAACATGAGCACTAGAACGCTAGAACCCTTCGAAGTCGCAATGAGAAAACAGAAGACTAATGAAAGGAGTATTATTCCCAGACAGTGTCAATTATAGTACAAAATCGTCAGGTATTTATAGTTTTTAGTAAGAATGAAATCATCATTACAGTCCTCCAATCCGCATACAGGGGGTTACTAGCATTGTTTAATCGAGAAGCTACACGTAGGAATTCTAGAATATTCTACCGAAAGGTGATCGAATGGAATATCTTCGGCTCCTTCTGAGCCTCCTGCTGCTTTCTCGAGTTCACCCGTGATCCGTCGTCACAGATATGAAAACAAAAATTTCTTTTCCCTAATGAACATCAAAATCACAGGAGAAATGACAATAAAAGTTTAAAGAAGCTTCAGTAACTAGTTTAATCAAACGTATATCATTTTGAAATTATCTGATTACAATGACTATCTTTGTGTTTTAAGCAAACATATACATGAAATAATTCCCAGTGAAAATACTTGAAACTAATGACGAGTAAATACAAAACCGATAAATATTCGTGGTTCACACTGTTCATGATCGATAGTTTGCAATACAGTTGTAATCAAAGTAGAGCTAAGCAAAAATGCGCACAAGCCAAAGTTGTCAAACTAAACAAGTACAAGATGAGTAGCAAAAATTAAAATAACAGCAGTATCGATTATAGTTGGAAAGACAATAAGTTGAGAATATGATTATGTTTCACTGATATATACGCTTTCTATACACGTGCCCAGATCAGCTACTAAAGTGAGGGAATCAAGATTGAATAGATGGCTTTCATTGGCTAGCCTAAGTGAGCACATATGTACAAACTTATTCCTCAGAAAATAGAGCCACATTTCCAACTAATACCGTGCATTCCTTTCCTCCCACAGTGAAGCCACACTTTGATCAATAGTGTGCATCCGCTATCATTTCCCAATTATCATTTTGATTATATCTGATTAGCCTAACTTACGAGATTCTAAAATAAGGAATGGAAGAATAGGTGTAAAAGAAACTCAAGATCTTAGGCCTGACAAAAAGTGAATGCGTCTGGAGATGCAGTAATCGATTTTAAGACATCTCATTCAATGACTGCGATCATCAATTACAATAACCGCGCGGAAACTGACCAGGTAGTCTACATGCCCCAAACACTTAGTCGATGAGTTCTATAAGTGATGCCATGCTCCATATTTAGTCAACCACAGTTCTATTTCAACTCACTCTAATAATTGATGATTCACAAACTCATCAACCGATTTACCATATGTACCGTCTAAAATACTCTTAAACTAAGCACTGCTTGCTCGATAGTTTCAACATACGCCTGTAATGCTCCGAAGACAATGATGATCAAACACTAGAAACCTATGAATTCCCTCTACTTTGAAGGGTCATGTATCACAGACAGTCAAAGATGTGTAATGTAAAATTTGGCACAAGTTTGGATTGGTTCAAGTTTCTATGCAGTAAATCCGTCCTTTGTTTGAGACTGACATTTTAATTACGCCAAAAGTCGGCAAAAGTCAATCAAGCTTTCTAAATCCAGTCCGTGATTTTATCAGCTACTAAAGTACCACAGTTGATGAGACTCTCGAGTTGAGTGAAGTGGTCAACTATTTTACTCCCGTTAATGATGTGGAACAGTATTGAAGTGACATTTGCATTTAGAACGGTGGAAACATGCCTGTGTGAATGCTCAAAACGAACAGAAGAATCTACTCTTTATCGGTCTTCAGCGGACAAAACTATCCCATCTAATAATTTTAAGTCGATAAATGAATCTCTTGGTAAACTAATCCACAAAAAGGTTGATTAGGAATACAATCTGTGTATGTTCATATACTTCTTCCGTACATTTTTCATGAAAAGCATTGTTAAATAATCTCACTCAACGGAGTCGAATACTGTCGAGATGTAGCATTTCTTCACCAGTGCTAACTTTAAAAAAAGTCATATGTACTTTGTGTTAAGAGTAGACTAGAAAGAGAGAGTGGTATGAAGCTATAATTCAAAAGGGATATCAATTGAATAACAAGAGGTCATCACCACTCGGTACTCAATATCCTTACATCTGAAACAATCATAAAAGACACGTCTCATTGAAAACACCCAAACTTACTAGGGTGCAGGTACATTGGTTACACTAGAAAATAGTTAAACCTTTAGGTATCTGTTAAGACGACCTTAATATTTTCTAATGTGAATGCAAGTTATATACAACTGATTAAGCAAAATATTTAGCTAGTTGATGTAATTAACTGTACAACAGAATAAGTACATTTATATACGTTGTAACTGAAGTAGCGTTATACAAATGCACTAAGATATAAAGAAAAACCTGTATATCAAAATCGTTCACAATAATACTGATGCATTCACTTTGTACCTTCTTCTAGATATTAAATTCCAACAATTCTACATACATGCCGTTATATTATAATCAATAATCTTTCTTATTATCATAGCTATAATATTTTTTGGTATTCATCTTATATTTATTTCGTACCAATATGCTACAACTTAAGCCAACTTACACCAGTGCCAGGCTCTATGTTGATGGTACCTACATCAAATCTATACTTTGTCAGACTACTGCTCCAACTTGAGTAATGGTATACCTTGATTCACTACTCTTAAATCTGTTTTACTTAGTAATCTTTGATTCACATAATCTAAAATCACCTCTACATCGATATCATGCGTGTGGCTAATGATATTATGCAATTAAAGATGGTAAAAATAAGGAATCCTACTTCTAGATTCCGATCGGTCAATCCAGGCACCATTTTTTCGATTCTAATGTTATATTTTAGTTGACGTGTTCTACCTGTAATAAAACCCATATACATTTGAGCCATTACAGAATAAAAATCAATCTTACATAGCTCAATAAGTAACTTCTTACTGTCAATATTTTCTTAACCTTACTACTGAAGATACAAAAAGCAGATCCTACTACGAATAATTCGCACATGCATAAACTCAGAAATAAATTTCTTTGATGATTAAGATGAGGCTTATGATGATACTATGGTTGTCGCAAAATCTAAAAGTTCCGGGGTAAAATCTTCGTGACTGATCACTTAAGATATGAAAATAAAACAAAACAGCTGGTTGATTATCTTATTAATTCATCCATTAATATCATCTTTCAATCAGGTTTTAACGTATGTTTTAAACTGTATTCAATACATTTCAAAACATATTAAAAAGGAATACAGGAAACGGATCAACATAACATCATAAAAAGGGTTTCTATTACGAGTTCGGAAGAAAGGTTGATTGTTTTGCAATCTCTACCTATGTAGTAAATAATTTATTAAAAATATATCGAAACATACAGACATTTACTTTTCACATCCATGATGATATATAAACAAGACTAGGAATGACTAACGATAAGATTTTATTTACTAACAGTATACGATACACACATATCACTCGGTAATAAATGAAGATGTAGGAAACGTATTTCCCACTGTTCAACAATACTCATTCACTGACATTCTTCAATTCATCCAATAATCAATACATTGGTTATTAGTTTTATCTCAATATGAAAGGAGAAAAACTATTGATAAGTACAATGGCAATAGGAAGAAATGTTTTAAATACTTCAAGTAAGAATTCAAAAAGGAAAAAAATAATTTTATCATTATTATTATTATCAGTTACTAATGGCAATCGATATTATGTCTCTTTCATTATGTATTTATATAATGATATACATAGGGGACTTTTAAAAACTTTTATTTACTTGGCATTATTGTGTCAAAATTGTTGTTTATGAGTAAAATTTAAAACACACATTTGTTGTTATTTAAATTAATGTTATTTTGACAGAAAAATAAATTAAATTTCATTTTCAGAATGTAAAGATGTAACATAGAATTCTATATCACACTGAATGGGTCACCCATTAGAATGCACAATCAATTCGTGTGTACACAAGTCAAAAGATTATCAATGTTGTATTATTATTTATGTATACAAAGGTAAAGAAGAGAATGTCAAAAACGAGATTTAACTATTATTATTATTACACATAAAGTGGGAATAACACAGACTATCTCTCTCCGAATTTGTGTGTATGTATACTCAATATATTCACCATAGAAACTGATCGTCTGACTTAGTTTTCTGATGAAACAACAACCGGAAAAAAATTGGTTGACAAAAAAACAATTGTGGTAGTATTATTTTTATAGATAATTAAGATAGTGTAAATCACATATTCCAACTGAAAATAAAAGGTGAGAAATCGGAAAAGAAAACAAACAGAGAGGAAAAAACACAATGTCAAAAATGATATAAATTTAAAACGAAGAAATGAGCAAAAAAACACCAACATGCAAAATGAACTTTATACAGATATGATAACATTGTATGACTTTTACTGTAGTAAACAATGGGGTAAATAGAGATGATTGAAATTATGTAAAATTAGTTTCCGTCATGAAACGATCAGATCAGTCGATCGCCCAATCATATATATAAATGACAGAAAAGTGAATATTCGAAAGACATTGGTGTAATTTGAATGAGGTGAAAATTTGAAATATGATAACGTCTCAGTTGAACAAAACAACAAGTATATGTGTAAATGATGTGATGGCTATTTCTGAATCCCGGACACTTATTAATGTTGATCAATTCAGAAAGAAATCAAAACAATTAGCTTTTAAACAATAAGAATCTTGTAGACTATATTAATAATAATTGCAACAGAATGAAGCATATACAAAAAGATGTGCGCATACGCAGTGAGTGAAGAAACAAACACAAAATAGTAGAATTCAGAGGTTAAACTTTGCCAAATACATGAGTAGCAGTAGTAGTAGTAGTAGTAACAGTATTATTAGCAGTAGTACCAAACGATCGATCATCATGTAAATGAGTTTGATTAGTAACAGATGTTGTAGAACCTGTGGTGACCGCGGTAGTGGTTACCTCATTGGTTACTTTTGACTTATTTAAAAGTTGTACGATATGTTCATGAATTTCTTTTAAACACAAATGACAAGAATTACAATGTACACTAAAGGCAGGTTTATCAATTTCCATAGTCTTTAAATGCAAAGATAAATTTGTAGTTTGTTTACCTAGATTATCACATGAAATTAAGATAGTTTTAGTAAGATTTGGATTATTGCTTATATGTTCCACAATATAGGCTTCTAATTCAATACGAAAAGAATCTAAACAATTCGATAGTTCAATGAACGATGCATTCGGGATCTCATATTCCATTTCATAATAACTACATAGATCTTTAGTCCAACTGACTAATTCAATAGATCTTTCCAGTAGATTTGTAATTGATTCCTGTGAAGTAGAGTTAAGTTGTAAATTTTGTGAATTCGAATTATTATTATTATTACCAACATTTGGTAAATAGTAAGAATCTGGCGCCTGGTAAACATCGTCTCCTTCACCACCACCTGAAAGGTCTGCATCGGGTTTAATCGATATTGAATTATCTTGAGAATTGTTCGGAGAGTCAGACGCGATGGATAAAGTCTCATCCTCCAATGATCTTGGAACTTCTTCCGTATTCGATTCCTCTTCTGATCGATCATCCAGTGATAAATGACGTCGCCCTACTCCTGGATAGTCCAGGTGTCCAGCATTACCACTAACAGCACGTTCTATATCTACTCTATTACGTCGGCGTGCCTGAGAAATCTTGGAATAAGAAGTATTAGGATGCATATCTTTAATATCAGTATCATTGTTGCTACTGTTATTATGATTCAAAGAAGATTCATCAACAACTATGTTATTCTGTTCAGACGAAGCTTTCAATTGAGATATATTTTGATTGTCAGACGATAAACAGTTGATTGGCTGGTTCATATTTGTTCCGGTCTCACTATCCATTATTTCTTTTGAATGAAAATATTGCTTACTACGTTGTACAGGAGAAATCGGGTGAGAAATATTTGACTTTGAAATTTCCCCGGTTGAAGCTACGTGCGAGCTATAAAAATAAATAGAATAAATTTTTAAAAAATAAGAAATTTAAGAAAAGTTCATCAATTAGGATAAAAATCAAAACAATTAACTAACGATTATTCACAGAGAAAAAACGATGTTTTACATGAAGAGAGTTGTTTTACAGCAGAAAATTTCGAGCAATTTTTAAACGTAACTGATTTACCGAATACAGGTTTATGTGTTCGGTTATGAAACATGCTATTCATAAGCGGTAAGAGATGTCTAAGCCGGATGTTATACGCTGAATATGTTAATTGATAACCAACCGCTCTATTTCGACAGATACTATGAATGGATCTAATAGAGTTTACTCTAATCCTCTTGAACGATAAACTCAATACAAATTTGATTTGTCTTCAAACTTAGTTATAACTAGAAAGTACATTATCTCAATATATACTAATGTTAAAGCCATTAGGTTGAACAACAGATAAACTGAATACAGCATTCAGCATACACCAACATTCAAATGACACAAAGAGTGTTTTGGTACATTGACCAAATATTCTTTTCACTATATAAAAATTGGGTTTGCTAAATTAATCAAATAAAAGTTAATTAAAAACAACAATCAACTATACCCTTTACATCAACTAACTTTTGTCACAGGTCAAAGTAAAAATTATAGGACTATAAACATCTTGCTAATTGAAATTATTCAACTGAAAAAGAAAAGTGTGTTGGCTAGGTAGACAGTGAGAAACCAAATATTACACAATATTACTATAGAAAAATCATAAAAACAACCAGTTTAATAACCAAGGACAGACAAATAAAAAGCAATCGACAGCCAGTGCTTTCAACATAATGTCGTTATATAGTTTATCAGTAATGTTCAACGATCATCTAAACAACAAGAAAATAGCGCTGAACCTATTGCATTAATATACCTAGAAATGTCAAATTAAAATCACCCTATCTGGAAGTCAGTCTTCTTGAGTCGGCTTCCGAGAACCACAGCGGAGCCTCCAGAGGCCCTAAAGGAGCCGAAGGGTTCCAGCCAATCAGAATATGATGGAGCTTTCTAGAACATTAACGTGGCGTGCTATTACTGGTCAGTAGCATAATATATCTCATAGCGGATTGGCCGAAATATAATATTGACTTAACAAACGCTAATATCTATAAATACCCTTGATTTTCTGCACACTTTGATTCTTACCAAATAAATACTTCTACAGCTTTTTTTCTGTCTTCTGATTTGCGACGGTGAAGTTCAACGTTCGGGTGTCGTAGTCGCAAACCTTATTCTGCGTTAATCAAGTAACGAACTTAACAAGTCTTAGTAGTGAATACAATGAAACACAGTTTATTAGCACTGAGTATATATATACTAGTAACTAGCCTATTCAAGCATAATTGTAAAATCATAAGGGCTAGTTAACAATAAAATTATCACAAAATCAATTCGTTAAAAAAAACACTTAAATTTAATTTCATTTCATTCATAATAAAATTTGTCCAAATAATTTGAGTAGGAAATGCTTTCTACTAAAAAAGAAAGAATGTATAAATTGGTAACGTAAGAATTTGAGGGAAAAAACGAACAAGTGAAAAGACACTACTCAAATATTTCTTATTATGAAAAATCCATCAAATTCGTTGATTAGTGTCACAAATACGAAAATCGAAGTTATGATCATCAGTTTTTTTTCATTTGTGTATGAATATATATGTAAATTAAGTTCACCGTAAACTTGACCACATGTTATAACCACAAGAATATTTTGGAATTTCACATAAATACCACATGACTAAATACAGAAGACAAATTACGTGCCTATAGAAGAATAGAATACATTAAACTTAATTATAATCTAAATCGGTTTACCTTAATTGAATTGAAGCATTATTGGTGGTAGATGTAGGAGGTAACAACGGCGAATTGCAGCATTCCATTATTGATGAATGAGGTGGAGGAGGCACCGGTGGTGGTGGCGGTGGGAGATAATGTAAAAAGTTCGATGGATGATTAAATGTTTTATCATTTACACCAAGTATATCAGTTGGTAAATTTGATTCATTTGGTTGCGATTGGTGATAAGCAAATGTTGGTGGTTCGTTACAACGATGATGACGACCACCACGGGTATCTAATTCACCCAAACTTTTTAAATAACTTCCAATCCTATCGTGAGGTGGTATTGTAGAGAATTGTTCCATTAATGGATTAACATTGAATTGAGTAGACGATGAGGCAGAAGAAATATGAGAAGTAGTGGTATTGATAGTAGTAGTCGTTGTTGTAGAAGTATTAGTAGATTGAAATAAATATGGATAGGAATGTGGATGGTGAATAACATTTGAAGAAGGAGTTATTATTTGTGCATGATGAAAATGTTGAGAATGATCATCAATTGACATGGACACTTCAAACGGCTGAAGTAAGAAAATAGAAAAATAAAAAATAACAGAATATGACAGTGAGTATACATCATGTATATGCAAGTAATAGTATAGCGCATAACAATGGCCTGGAAAGAGAGTTTGTGAATACATTAGCGTCACACATATGCACAAATTCATAGAAACTTGTGAATATAAATGTTATCCACAAAAAGAAAAAGTATCAGATTCATAATTTCTAAATAATACCTCGAAATGAGTAAAGTAGATTGATTTGTATCTACCTGAAGTAATTTTTAATAAAGAGTAGATTGCATATATGTGAAAAATGAAGTAGATATTAATTATCTTAAAAGTTAGTTAGAAATCAAACACTTTGAGACTTATGATTTGGTTCCTATAATTGATCATATGCTGCGGTTTGAGCACCCGGGCAGTATCCCAGCCCTCACACAAATCAAATGATCTGTGAGGTACATATATATTTGGTGCTTACTTGTACCAAAGTTTATGTGTTTAAATCAAAATCAATTGATCACCTGAAAATGTATGAAAACCAGGATCAAATGCATGTAACTCTCACGACTAGGCAAACAATTTGACAAAGAAACTTAGATCCTACGAAGAGATAAGAATAATTTCCATTTTTTAGAATAGGGTAAAATATTAAACAAAAATTTTGACAAATAGAACGTTTCGTGTGTGTATTTGTTTGAACTAATGCAAATTCAAGCTTTCATAGAATACTAGAATAGAAAATAAGATGAACTCAAAGTTCACATGATGTTTATAAACTAATGTTTGCTTTGTCGTTTATTTTTAATTACGTTGAGATGTATCGACAAAAAGAAAACGAGAGCCTAAAACAAAGAAATATTACTCACCACATTTAAACGCCAATCAACTTGACAGGATCCACTTGGTGTTATCGAATTCATAGTAGCAATTACACCAACACCGACAGCATTACTCATTATCCCACCGCCACATGATCGACTTTCTGCAGGAGATTCGTTTGAAATAATCGATTCACCAACACCACTTTCATCTGGTGTATCCGTATCTTGACTACGTGTTGTACCATCTACGTAAAATGGTGAAAACATTAATAGAGCATTAAATTTATTTAACAACAACATGGTACTGATTATATAGTGAGAAATCATGGATATAATCTACTCATTAAAAACAGATCTCTATAATCAAAAAACAACACTTAGAAAAGACAGGAGAGTTGAACGATCATGTACGTATATATATAAAATAAACAAGACTAATAAATGGCGAAAGTGTGAATAACATATTCCAATTCAACACACGACAAAATATACAAAAAAACTAAGTTGGTATTTTTTTACATTGTAAATGAAAAAGATTTGAAATAGCACTTACTTTGTTGCGAACTAGTCTGAGTATTACAACCAGAAGTAACATTACGATGAATAGAACGATTCGTTCGAATAGCTGATCGATCATTCACCACTTTTGTTGAATTACCAACATTTAAGTTAGGAATTTTAGAAACTATGGAAGCTGAATTATTATTGGAAAATTGAGAAAGATTTGAAGTACCACAATTTTGTGTAATATTTGACGAGGTAATATGTGAATTAGGTTGATAAGATAAATTATTACTCATTGGGATAAAGTAACATAATTTTTCACCGAAAGGTAAAAATCCATTATCAGATAATGAAGCCGGTGAATATTGTGTTTGTGTTAAACAATTTGATGAAAATGGTGTTCGACATTGAATCAAATTAGGAAATCCATTTTGGTTAGATTCATGTATGGATGTATTTTGTGGGCCGCATGGTAAAAATTTAACCTGACCCAAACTGCTAGTAGGTAATAGAATATGATCTATATTTGTTAAATAGAAAATGTTAAAAAGATTAAACAAAGAATTTTTAATTATCAAAAAGACATCAACTTACATGATTAGACAAAAATTTCAAAATTAGATAATAATTAACAATTAAACTGCCAGAAGAAAATAATAAAACAATGACTAATAACGATGAAATAGTGGAAATTAAGCAATTGATTGTGGAGAGAAGGCCGTAAAATGTATATGTAAACAACTAGCATTCATATGGATTGCTGTCCAAAAGTGAGATAGAAATTTATCACTGATCACATGACAAAAAGATCATAACATATTAGGGAAAAGATTAAGACAATTGAGTTCTGATTTAGTGATCGAAATTAATTGTGCCTGCCAAGAAACCTCAATGTTGTTGATCAAAATTTTTATAAGACGATATGTGCATACAGCTGGGAAATGTCAAAACTGGAATGAAAATAAATCCATTATTTTTTGCTTTCCAATGGCCGATTCATTAAGAAAATTTTTATGAAATAAAACGGTTTTGCGCAAACTACTAATGCAAATAATACTCATTTGTTTGTACCTTCAATTAACGACGGAGAGAAGGCCAAACAATTACTATACATATTTATGAGTCACCATGTTTAAGTGACCGATAAACCATGTGTTGCATATATATATATATATATATATATATATATATATATATATATGATCAGCCAATTTGTACATATAATTCACTATGAAAGTACTATTGTACCAGTTCGGCTAACATGACTCACTTTACCTGCGCTTATTACTTGGAAATGCCTTTGTACACAACGTAAAAAATAAACAATATTCACTACTTTGACGGACGCACAAAATGCAGATGCACAGATTCATACAATATAACTTTCTTACAAACTTCGAAACAAGAAAAAAAATCGAATAAATACACAAATGTATGTGTCCATGTGAATGACTCTAATGAGACAGAAGAGAAACTGTGACCAGTAAGTGAATGACAAAGTAGTTTGTGGAGAATTGTTTAAAAAACTGAATAAAATCAGCAAACATAGACATACACACATTAATAGCCATCAATTGCTTCAAGACAATGGACGTAAAAACAACTTGTGTTGAAGGAATAAGTTCACGCATTTTTCAACCGTCGAAGTAATACTGAGAAGTTGGTTTACATTATATATATATATATATATATATGATAATGTCCTTCCGAAGAATAAAGGTGACATCAACGAACTAAAAATTCACATTGTTTTCCTCACTTCAAGTGAAGAAACACTTTTTGACTAAAGGAGTTCTAATGGTTTTTGTAGAAAAAAACGAGACGTCTACCATCAATTTGTTTCTGTTTGCAATTATCAGGTGGCAAACTTAGTAAATTATTTAATATTGTAAACTAATTTCAAATACAAAGTCATTGAAGAAAAAAACATTGCTAAATAATACAAGTTACTTCACATCAAGTTACCATCAATGATTACTATTCCAATATACATGCAAACTACCACAAATCAATTGAATTAAAGTGTATTTATACTGTTGTATAGTTGATATTTGATCGATTCCTGTTATTCTAAGAGAGCATATGGCATTTAAAACGATGGATAAGAGGTTTGAGTATCAGAGTGAAAATCAACCCTAGAATATTGGTACACATAGATAATGAATCTGGAATAAAAGGAAATGTCCCTCTGGGATCCCAATGTTATCCATAAACAAACGAGACTAGAGATTTTAATGTTTTTTTCCAATGCATATACACTTTTCCCTAACTAGCTAAATATGATTGAAATATATAAAGAACTAGAAAACTACACCTAGATTGCAGTTTTGTTATGTTTTCCAATCATATAGGTTGACGAACGAATCTAAATACGGTGTCAGCAGAATTCCTGATAGACGAGGTGAGATTATATGCCATGACAATGTAGATAAAAATGTCATCAAATGAAAAATCATACTGAAGGATGATATGCAGTAACCACATACAACCCATATTGATTAGCAGGTTCTGTTTCCCATATTAGAATCGCGTAAATACCACATCAGTTATATACACTGTTTACAGCTACGCTCATTAACAACTGGGAGTTGGATGCTAAACTGCTCAAACCATTAATCCTGAAGTTTGTGTGTACCCTTGGTGAAATTCGCTTGTCCAGAGACAATTAATGAGTCTGTCTGTGAACGATTCACTACTCAATTGGAATTGAAAAGTATTATATATTCATTAGCACCCAGGCAGTATCACATCCCTCACACATATCAAATGAGATCTGTGTAGTGCATATGTATTTGGTGCCTCCTTGTACCAATATCTATATGTTAAAATAAATAAATAAATAAAATAAAGTACGACTTAGAGATCGGTGCTTATGTGAGCGGTATTTTAGTGTCACTGATGTTTAGTGATACAAATTAACATTGGCACTACAATTGTGTGCCAAACGGATGTGTGAAACTAAATACTAGTAGAACGTTGAACTCGCTAGTTTAATAGTAATTAATGCCGAAGTAGTGTCAAGTAAAACTTTTGAGGTTACGGATAAGTTGTGATGAGGAAATTATTACTCTGGTTACAAAGCATATATGTTATTTTGAGAATGTACAGGATATCGCACAGATTCCAAAGGAAAACTGACACAACAGAAGATAAAGAGAAATAGGGAGGATATCATAAAGATGTTACAAAGTACCGAAATTTTAATTCATGTATTATCTGGCTAAAATAATGTTGATATATTAAAAATTTGTTTTACGAGCAACATAAATAGGTGTGAATAAAGCCATTTTTTATTGAACACATTATCATCCTAAACGCACCCCAAACTAATAACAGGTTTTCGAAGATGAGAATCTTCTTGTTTAAACTTAATGAGGTAGTCAAAACGATTTTTAAAAAATAATATATCGTTCACTAACTATCACCTTTGGAGTGAATAGCATAATCAATAATTGACTTGGTGGGTTCTCCACTCTCACCTTTCAATTCATATTTTTGACAACTAGTTCAGTTGAGAAAAGAAAAAACAATACTTAAACAATACTACTAGAAGGGATGACTTTTTAATACAATTATTATTATTAAGATACAGAGATGAATAGAAAACAAAAATTGAATCAAAATAATAAACACTTGCCTGGATTTATCTCCGAATTACTTTCACGTTGAACAGCATGATTATTTGAACTAGCCGTGTGTTTATTTTGATTATCACCATCATCATCATCATCATCATCGTCATCAATATTATCATTATCATCATTGTCATTGTCAAGTGAAACAGCAGCTAAATTATCAGTAATACGACCAAAATGATCACTGCCACCAACTCCACCGCCAGATGATGAAGGAGAAGGAAGAACTGAATGTTTATCTTTAGACAAACGATTCTGACCAATAAATATAGTCTTTTCTTGTTTTATACAATTAATATTATTATTGTTATTAAGTGAAGTAATATTATTTTCAACATGATGATGTATTGAGTGATTAGCAACAGAATTCATTGTAACATAAGAGGATATTGGATTCGGTCGACTTGATTCAACATTATTACCGGTGAAATCTATATTCGACGTGGAATGAATAGCGTTATTATGTCTAGAAACGACATGATCCGAATTCACAATTTCTGTTGATATAAAACTATTTGGTAAAGACTCCTTGAAGACCATATTAAATTGATTTACTGAATTGCCTTGTAAATCTTGTGATTGTATTTCTGTGAATCTGTTTGAACTCACAAGTGGTGGTTGTTGTTGTTGGATAAAATTAACAGGTTGCTTTTCCAATTCCAAAGCAACTTCTATTAGAGGGGTAAAATTAGAACAATTAATGATTTGATAATTAGAAACTATATATATATATATATATATATATATATATATATATATATATACCAAGGACCAAAACATTAATTTACGTTGACAAATAGCATGTGCATAAGTTAGTTTAAAAATAACAATAGTTATTATCTTTATCATTACTTGAACAATAAATTAATGATAATGTACAGTTAAGTTACTGATGATAAAAGAGATTAGTAGTAAATAAAGTTATATGTGTGAATAGCGCCAAGTATGGAGTAACGCAAACAAACACATACTAAACGAAATTATTCTATTATATTCCTGTAGAAGATTGAACAGAGAAATTTTCTCCTTATTAAGAAAGAAAACTGAAACTTCGTACAGTTCTGAACTGTCAGATATAATCAACAACAAATGACAATGAACGAAGAACCACAAACACTTGGCTTTTGGAACACAGCTCGACAATGTTATACCAGATGGTTAGAAACAATGACAAGAATATACAAACCAATACATTCAGAGAAAGCTATAGGAATCCAGCTTAATAAACCTGGTCTTTCCATCAAGAAAAATTGTGTGTACAGTCTCCCCCGCCTTGTCCTCACCATCAAACTGATTTCAAACATATCTCTCACATTTTTCATTATTATTATTGACATGCAATTATTCTCAAGAATCAACACACCCATACAATTCTAAATACATGTTTACATTAGCTATTCCGTTATTTTTCTCCGTCTTTATGTAATCAATCCGAGTAACGAATTACATTGTTTACATCTTCATTGTTGTGTAATCAGTCTTAATGACCAATCAATTAGAATTCTATTTCCTGAGTATTATTATCATTACTGTGTTAATCTACTCACAACCACTTAATTTGTATTGATTCTTCACATTCAAGTGTCAAGTTCTGTTTTAGTATTGAGTCTTGATGAGAATTTAATTGAAAAAATACCTTTTCTTCGTTAAAGTCGATTTCTCGTAAAGTACAGTAAATTAAACAATATGTTAAATAAGATAATTAAACTGCACCAGAAAAGGTAAGCTGATAAGAAATATTTAACTAGATAAAATAAAATACTAGTGAAACAAAATTAACACCTAACAGTCATATAATATGACTCGAATAATTACTACGATTATTATTATTCATTAATGGAACTACTTACGGGAATCGATTGAATAGTGATTTGAATAAGGAAAAGCATATTGTTTCATTAATTATCACAATGTAGTAGAACAGTGTGACAGGTTAAATGGGAAAATCAATTTTAATGCACTCTAAACTGAGTGAAAAGACCCATAGGTGTACATGTTAACGCTTATTTCACGGCACAGTATGTCAAGCACAATACTAAATTCAATGTCGTTAATATGAACATTACAGACAACAATAACTAATATATAGTAAATTAGAAAACAATTTTTTTCCTAATACAGTGTTAGAAACTTGTCAACAACTATACTTACAATGATTCATTACACAACGAATGAACTAGGAGAGAAACAGAGCATCCAATTATTTATTTTATTCAAACGCACAGATATTGGTACGAGAGGGCACCAGATACATATGCACCACAAAAATCTCACTTGATATGTGTGAGGGCTGTGATACTGCCCGGGTGCCCAGACCGAAGCAGGTAGAGCATCCAATGATTATGTTTGGCTTTAGATGTATTTAGTCAATTGACATATCGAGTACCTACGTTAATAAATTCATTACTGTTACTCGTCCAATATAGGTTTGGGTAGTCAGTTTTCGAATAGATTGCTTGTATGTAAGGGTTAATGACAATACCCAGTTATCCAAATCAAAATAGTCGATGTGGAATCCGAACTTACAGACTCATAGGTGACGACGACATAAAATCACTGCATGAGCATACTATTAGGAATTCTATGGAATTTAATACTTTGAAAATAACAATGTAACTAATAATAACCATAGATAAATAAGAGGCACAATCAATAAACAACTTTTTAAAGCAGTACTCGCTGAAGCACATAAAGATGAACAGAACACTTGGTTAACACTCATTCATCTACGCTTAGATAATAATAGCTTTTAAGGCAACAATATATGAAATTTCGTACCTACTATGTTAAACAAGAAAAATTCAATTCAACGATAGTGTGATGACTTATTACAAACCTAATGAAGACTAAATAAATAACAACACTGCCCATATATATATATATATATATATATATATATATGTATATATATATAATGAGTAGATAAGAAAATCGAATTAGTTATTAAGATAAAAGAGCTATCATATTAGGCTGGTTAGGTAGGGATTCAAGCTTACCAGCTTCAATGTTCATAGTTGTATACATTTGTTCTAGTTCTGCATGGATTTCACTGAATGAAGGCCGCAAATTAGGATCCCAAGACCAACCTGAATCAGATAGAATAAAAGAAAAAATTTAGTTTATATATCGAAAATATATCAACCACTGTATTTAAACAACACCTAAGTAAAACGAGATCAATTAATGCGATCATATCAGTTTTAGCGACCTCAATGTTACAGTAGGGTGAAGAAACGACGAAGAATTAAACTGGAATCAGTCGACCGAGTTATAAATGTTTGTTCTGTGGAAGGATATTATTTATATTCAAAGTATAAAAAGTAATTGTGAAACAGTTATGAAAACGTTTCAAAGTTAGTCGGAGCGACACAGACACATTCATTCTGTTTCACATATTACACCTATTATTATTCAACAAATTCATTGATTTCATTTCACGGTTATACTAAATTTTATAAGCTATTTATTATTATAACTTGTATTTCTTATAGTATTTCTTTTGGTGATACCCTCTTCACTACGCTGATGTGGAAGTGGAGCATGATAGATTGATATTTTTCAAAGCACAAATCATATTGATATGTTGTTGAAATAACGAAGAGAACACTACATTCATCAGATAACAAATTAATATATTTCAGAAATTAAAGGGCAAAAACACAAGGAGTTCAATCTCACCAATATAAAAAATAGTTTTAATGTTTACTAAAGATATGCGAAAACTGAAGTTAAGAAAAAAGTGAATGTCATTTTATCAGGGAAAACATTCCGATTTGAAAAAGATTTGTAACAAACTTTTTTTCCATAAAAATGAACAAGAAAAACGCAACCATTTAAGTTTAGATCAGTCAAAAACATCTAAAACTGAGATAATCACGGAAAATTTTTAGAAATTTTGAAACCGAAGATCTTGACTTCAATCAGTAGTGAGGTCATAAATGTACAATGTTAAGCATTCCTATACTAAGAAAAAATAGTTGTTCAGTACTCCTAAGTTTTTAATGGTTGTTTAACTTAACTTGGTTCGTGACATCAATAAAATTTGAAACGACTAGTTGATTGGATTTAGAGATAATACTGCATAGAATGACATATCAGACCTGAATATATCAGTCTGAGAAATAATCTGAAAGAATACAGATTTACCACTAAAATGATGGTTATTACTGTTTTATACATCAATTTTAAAAAAGAAAATAAGTTTTTTTAAATCAGTAAATAACAACTACTCAGGGACATCCTCATTAGTGAGCTATCGATAAACACAACAACAGAGAAAACATGCTGACATACACTAAGCTACAAAAAAAGAAAATCGCATTGATTCAGTGGATATGGATTTTTTTTAAAGAAGCACAGATTGAAATTCTACAAACTGGGAACAAAAATGATTGACGTACTGGTGGTAAGAAGTGGTAATAATATTAGTAGTGAATAGAAAAGATGAAAAATATAACTACTTACATCTTAACATTATAGAATAAACTGCTTCTGGGCATCCATGTGGCCGTTCCATTCTGTAACCTTTCTCTAAAAGATGATAAACATCATGCAATTCAACTCCAGGATAAGGTGAAAGACCATAGGTGGCAAGTTCCCATAGGACTACACCAAAAGCCCACACATCCGATCTACAAAAATGTACATAAAACGATAGAAGAAATATAATCAGTTACAAAAAATATATCTTAATATGTATCAATGACACATATGAAATGATTCACTTATTAGTAAGTTCTCTGTATGTCTACTTCTACACTGGCTAGTATTGAAATTTGGAGTAGACGGTGACATAATATACATTATATATATCCTAACTAACACAGTTGATGAAGGTTTATTATTAATTCTCAGTAACTGACATGTTATCTCTATGTAATACTATTTTCAAAGAATTTATTTGTCAGTAAACGATGAAAATCAGCTAAAAGAGAGTACACTATAATTTTTATATTTCAACTAAATACGCCAATAAATCCAACTCTTAATCCTGCAGTAATATTACATAAATGAAAGAGAATAGTATCCCAAGACCTTCTGAAAACACTTATGAAAAAAACATTTCAGTGGAATAGTTTACATTCTTATGTAACTCTTACGTTTACTATATATATACACCAATTAATTTAGTTAGAATGATTAATGTACACGAAATTAAACAATAGGTTTCGATGATATTTTATTTGAAAATTATTACATATGATCGGTTGTTATTTCTACTGATATGATGGGTATAGTCGTTAAAAAAACTATCTGAAGATTATTGGTAAGACAACAATTTATGCTATGAAAAATATCAGAAGTCTAACAAAACCAATTGACTTGTAACAAACTAACCACAAACAGGTACACAACAGATAATTCATTAGACAATAAATTATTGACAAACTTATTTATCTAACGATTAGGTTAATTAGCAATTTTAGTTATATTTAAAATGAACTTATCTAGTCAAGATGTATTATTTGTGAACATTAAAGAAAGAAATCCATTCATTGATGGTTCTTCGCCTTTCATAAACAAATGTGTGTGTGTTCACAAACACAAATGAATGTAGTACCGAAATGGAATCTGTGCGCAATATTATAATATTAACCATTAAACTTATTTATAGAAAGAAGAGAAGAATTACATTTACACATTACAATCAATTTGCACCAAATTCTTTATTGTCATCCTCCCAGTGTAAACCAACGCAAATGTAACAACGTAATTTATTTTCTTTATTTTAGTAAAGGATAATGACGAACAAATCTTTATTTAATTGTTTCATCACGAAAAATTTTGATTCGCAAAGCGTGATGTTATATGAATCTGTTGACAGTCCTGATACCTCTCTTTCAATTAAAATTCACTGATGAATTAGTCATCTGGACTACTACAAAAAAACAAGGCTGATGTTTATTTTCATGCTATATGTATGCACTGTTGTTCATAACACTCACTTTACATTGTTTAAGGAACATGGACTTATTTACCATTTAGGGCTAAGAGTTCCGTTATATATTCATCTGGGCCTTATTCTGAACTGTATAGACACTTGTTTAGTGAATCATATCGTATGTAGCAACGACAATATATTTTACTTTACAGGATGCATTTAACTGTGATTACGGTCGGTCAAGTAAAGTAGGCTTTTGCTACCTGCTAGCTTGTGAAGTCGGCAACATGGTTTCCCTCAGCTCGGAGTGGACACCAAGAAGTTTGAAGTGAGAAGCAAGTTGGTAGTGACATCACTCTATACTAAAAAATACCAGAAAGTATCCTCCAAGCTTAAATGAACAGGTTGGTGATAAAATTCGGGCTGTGGGGAGGTATAACGGCCGTAATTAAGTCTACCAGAAAACAACCATCTCCACAAATTAAAATAATCATAGTTGTTGGCTTAACAACTAGTTCTAAACAAAATTCAGCATTTAGTGTCGGGTGGTCGGAAATAATCAGCAAAAAACGCATTCTTGACAGAGTTGAGTTTTTTTAGGTCGTAATGAGATGTACTGATTTACTAAGTCAACCTATTAGTAACTCACAGATGACGTCGAAAAGGGAAAACACATACCACATAACAAGCTGATTGATAAGAGAAATTTAGAAGACTAGATTTCAACTTATTGGTTTAAACATAATATGGTTGTAGCAAAACTTAAATGTGCTGGATTTGATGTCGTGTTAGACTGAGAATATGAATTACTGTAGAGTCCCAAAATTGTACGATACAGGCATTTGTTGCTTCCCAGTTTCCACTCTTTATTCATCTGATGCTTTAACTTCAGATAAAAATATCTCTTTAAATATTAAAGGATAAAGTACAAACTTAAGTTGATATTTTAAAACCCTTGAATCGATTACAAGCTTATAACATAGAAACAACAATACAATGTTAATACTTATGAAGTTGAGAGAAATCATAAAACAAATTATGCTACATTTTCAAACTTATGTTTAAGATAAAAGAAATAATGAAATAATGGATTTAATTGATGTGTTTGATAAAATTAATAATAATAATGGGGTCACTAGATATCAAATTAGAGGCAATAGATGATTAAAACAATAGAGATAAAAGATTTTATTAAGCAGAGTTCATCAGCGAGTGGTTTTAATCCAGTACTTAAAATTACTAATCTACAATTGTAAAAATTATTAAGTTGCATTCTTTTATAATATATTTAATTAAATGAGTTAAACTATGTTATACATTCAACGAAAATGACAAACGAGTCCTGTAAAATTCAGTGATGTCCAGTATGTCTATTTACAAATCATTAAGAAAACACGTCATGCACCAAATTTAATAAAAACAAACATTAAACAAGTTCTTTTTAATTACAAAAACAACATACTTTGATGAGAATAAATAGTAAGAAAGACCTTCAGGAGCAGTCCATTTAATAGGGAATTTAGCACCATTACGAGCAGTATAAGTGTCTTGCCGTTGCATGTAACGTGCTAAACCGAAATCTGCAACTTTGATCAAATGTTGATCACCCACTAAACAATTTCTAGCAGCTAAATCCCTAGGGAAAAAAGTAAAATAAAATAATAAATAGAATCTTTTACAAAAATATTATTTAGTTTACAAGATTTTTAAAAAGAATGTATATTAAGAATTGAATAACTACTGACAAGACATACATTGAAAATAGAATCACATTATTGAATTAACCAACAATACGATTACATATACTAAATAAACCACAATATCTAAAGGTAATCAGCAAAGGATTGTTATATACTGAAATCTTTATAATGTAAGTATATTATACTTTAAAAGGTATTTTGTGTTATCATTACTGCATCAATAATACATTAATTCTATGAATAAAATATTTCGGAGGAAATAGTTTCGTGTAATGTAAAGCATTTTTAAAAATGTCCTAATTTTATTATGTAATTTTCAGTTATTTAAAGTATTTTTTCTACTGGTACTGAATTACAATGTAGAGTAAATGTTATGGTGGACGGTGTCCAAAATATGATACCGCCCCAAAATGCCCTGGTATGGCCGAGAGTGGGGTGGGCCCGCCCTCCCACTCGAAATACTCTCACACGGCCACGCGTATACAGCCTCTGCCAGGGAAGTCCTACTCACTGCCTTCTCGTGGCGGGGGTGTTGTTTACGAAAATGAGAGGACGAAAAGCGAATGTCCGGCGCTTTAACCCGATCCCAAACCATTGGTGCACATGGGCTCCAGTATCCTGCGGGAACAAATGGCGTATGAACCAATCGTTGGTCACCGGCTACCATAGGACTGTATCTCACGATTCTCCACTGCCTCGTGGGTAAGACCTTTAGGTCAAAGGCTCGGGGTGTGGTCCCCTAAGAAAACCACCTGCTTCGGTCTGGGCACCCGGGCAGCCCTCAGACAAATCGAATGATTTGTGTGGCGCAAATCTATTTGGTGCCTCCTTGTACCAATATCTATGTGTTAAGATAAATAAATATATAATATGATACCAATACACGACGCGCTACACACTAGCCGGTCCCCCAATTGACTACTTGAGTGAGGACAAGAGTAGGGAGAAAAGTACACTGGGCTATTGAGCAAAATACAAATATATATATATATATATATATATATATATATATATATATATACAATTTCACTAATTGAAATCATCAGTCAATTGAAGCTAGACCACCATGGAAAACCTGGAGGCACTCGCGCCTGGCGCGAGACTGATAGGTCCTGGGTTCGAGTTTCGCAGGGTGCGGGATCGTGGATGCGCGCTGTTGAGGGGTCCCATACTAGGACGAAACGGCCGCCCAGTGCTTCCAGGTTTTCCATGGTGGTCTAGCTTCAATTGAATCATGATTTTAATCAATGAAATTTCTAAAATCTCCACAAAACCCCTTCTGATATATATAATTGATCTATTTCTTAGCCAATGAAATATACTTGTCCTGTAGGTCACTTTTGATTGCCATCGACCGACCTTGACATCCGGCTACTTCATTGTATCGGTAAATATTGAGTATTTTGCAATCATGTGATTCCCAGAATAATTTAATAATTTGAGTTCAATGACTAACCCCATGATACAAACTAAATTTCAATATTTAAAATACATATTACGATTAATGTCAAAAACTAACGTTTGCACCACATAACATCAATAAGTTACATTAAATTCAATGTAATTCTACTGATAAGTAAAATAACACGATGCAGACAATAGTGACATTACCTACCTGTGGATAAAATTATTAGCTTCTAAATACGCCATTCCAGAGGCGATTTGAACAGCCATATAAAGTAGAGTAAGCGGGGTGAGTTCACCTGGACTACGTGTACGTAAATAATTCAATAAATTCCCATTTGGCATATATTCCGTAATTAAGTAAAGGGGCGGTTCTCGAGTACATACGCCTAAATAGAACAGTGAAAATAAACAAAATAGAAGAACGATAGAAAATATACATAATTTTAATATTTTTTCCAAAGATCATCGTTAAAGAAAATTAAACTTAAGGGACAATGAACTGAGCATATTTCCTCCAGTATACCTGCACTCGTATTGTACCGTTGGCAGTTCATGTTTAGGTACCTTAAACAGAATCCAGTTCAAGAATTCATTCAAAAAATGCAGAAACAATAAGTCATATTTTCAACATCAAGATCTAGTGAAATTATGATGAGATCACGATAATCAATAACCAGAAAAATAAATCTTCATTCATTATTGAGAAAGCACGTCGTACATTTTGAAAGAAAAGCTCCCAAAAACCCTATAATAACAATCATTATGCACGCACCAGTCAATAACTTCAAAGGCTGATTCCCAGAGTTCTAGTGAGAAGCTGTGACTGATCAGTGAATTTCAATCCTGTCGAGTGTGAAACGATGGATGGTAGGTAACAGATGATGGCTGCATACTGTATTCACATAAACCCAGCAAAACACGGAATTAAATGAAAATCAAAGGTTCTGAACTGATAATATCAATGATAGTAAAGCAAACTAGTGTCAAAACGTATGATTTATCAAAAGTTAACAAATGAGTGAATCTGTGCCACTATAATCGATCTTGACCCATAATTATTTAAAGCCTTTCAGCACATATAACGACTGTTCAGTAAACTCCAATCAGAAAGTTTGCAAGTAAAATTAATTAAATGCCTATTTGAAAGATTCTAACGAAATAGTTTGATATACAAACTAAAACAGAAAAGTTTAACATATTCATTCAACATATTATCTTGCGAAAAAAATTAAGTTTTCTACATTCTCACTATTACGTTCGTAAAATAAATTTTTTGATCCAAACAAAGTGGGTTAGGGAAAGTGTCCTCTCATTTAAAAATTTGAGGGGGCTGACCACATTCGACGAATAAAAGTGTTAATCGAAAAATATAATGGCAAACAAATCGAAATTACTGAAACCAATTTTACTTGACGATTAAATACATTTTATGAATATAAAACCATGAAGAAATATTAAAAAAAAAAACATACCTAATAATTGAACTAAATTCCTATTACGTAACTTCTTCATAATAGCAGCTTCTTTGAGAAAATCATTGACATTCAAATTAACATCTTGCTATAAAAGTATTTTTTTAAATAAAAGCAAGAGAAAGATCATATAAGCTGTGAATAGGGAAAACGTGTTTCACACTAATTGTTTGTAAGTTTAGCAAAAGAAAAATTCATAGATCAATAACGCACAGAATCCATTATCTGTGATTCGCTTTATCAACACTTTTCTCAGAAAAAAACATAAAAATATATCTATCTACACGAATTATTATTAGAAAATCGTACTAACAAATAGGGATGAAGTAAGTTTGCATTATAATGTGAACGGGTGTAATGAATGACTCCTAATAACAGTATGTATTAAAGCAATGATGAATGATTAACAATGGTAATTTAAATTTATTCATAAGGAAAGAATAAATAGTACAAGGTTGCTAAGTGTTGCATATAACTTTAAGTGAACATATCTATAATATGAAATGGTTAAGACAATCGACATTATAACCAAATAGGTAATCCATTCCGAACTCGAATTGATCTGCTATGAATTAAAAGGAATATATACCGTTATGAGCTACCATTAAGCAGATATAATTTAAAATCTCCAGTAAACTAACACGTAATGGTAATCTACATCCGCCTTTGCTCAATAAGTTGTGACAGAAAATTTTCTTTAGAATAACCTGCCACAGATATCTTTACCAATTTTAATTTGATATTAATAATAATAATAATATGGTAAATAACTGTGAATAATAATACAAGCTTAAATGAATAATGATAGCATAATTATCTACATTTGATATCAGTGAAGTTTTGACTGTAAAAGTTTCTCCCTCCAGTATATTGAAGACTACTTAATCAGCATTAATAATTGCAAAATAAGTAGCTTTACGATGATTCTACAATAACTTTTAATTCCTACGCTGCAAATTCATTTAAGTTGAAACTATTAACCGTATACTATCACTAATAAATTACATACAAACCAATATACATGTACAAAGCGTAGATCAGAATCGAGTAGAGCAACCTATACACAATGTTACACTATGGTTCACTAAAATGAAAACGTAAACAGATCATTTTTACATACACTTAGTTTATTTCATTATCTTGAGGAGAGCAAGAACAAATAGAATAACGTGAATTCATTCTATTTCGTTAGTTTTTCATTAGCTGATACTTACAACCTATAATATTTTAAAATAAAAACTAACATAAAATCTTCATACTCATTACAGTAAAATTGGATATGTATCATTGTGATGGGAGTAATGAAATTGAAGTCATATAAAGTGTTTTAAATAAATACAATATGTGAGAGGAAATCTTAAATCATCAGACATAGTAACAATAATTTATTGAAGTATATATATGTAATAACTGATTGCGTAATGAAGTAGTTGGATACAAATTAATAGCAATAAAGAATAGACATGAATTGAGATAAGTCAGTCAAAAAATAAAATTCGAAAGAAACGACTATATCATTCTCACTGACAAGTATTTTTAAAGTTGACCACGAACAAAATGCAACGAATAAGAGAACAGATACATTCGTGTATGCTTTAAAAAGTACAATTAACTTTGATTGTTTTCTTCCATAATCTTTTTTCCTGACTAACTTTTAAAGTAATGCATATTCTTTTTTCGTGACTTTCAACATACAACAGAAAAACACATATCATTTAATCAATCTGTTAAAACATGAAATAACTTGATTACATCATCATCCAACATAAAATGAACTGGAAAAAAACCGGATTCATCTTTTTGTTTTGTTTTACATAAAAGAAAGAAAGTTAAGTACATTTAGTTAACAACCAATCAATTAATGATTGTTAAACAAACCATATTATTACCCAGTACAATATCAGTATTAACAATCTCGAAAATAGTTCATATATACAAATACATACCATACACATATTATATTTTAGATTGTATTTTGAAAACCATCGAATAAAATTGTCTACCTATATATACTTGGTCTCATTTCATATGATAGTGTACTACTACTTATAAACGAACTGTAAACTTGGCAAATACAACTTGTGTAATCCAGATCCGAAGTTTTTCATGTGTGTCTGACTGTCTGACTATTATGAAATTCAATCATGACAGTTAGCAAACCACTACTGTCAATGAATTATTAGATTTAGCCCCACACAACCCAATCATATTTAGGAAAACAAGTATTACGGTATGATAAAAATACATTGGCTCAAATATATATTATTATTAAGATAAACAATCAATCGCATCACAAAAACTTTGTGCACAAAAAATGCGAGTGTGTGTGTATATATGTGATCAACTCTAAATCGCAGTCTTTGTATGATGCCTAGTGCCACTAGCTGGGTAAAAAACCAAAGGTGATTCAGTGGTCCTATGACAAATGCGTTCGAATTTCAACTATATACTTGCAGGTAACAGCCCCACCTATCTTCAATTTCAGAAGCTAGTTAGCATCACTAGACACCATACTCTAAACTATGCAACTGAAAGCTGACCAAATGAGGTCATATATTTGGTTACTAAACTCATAAAACAGTACAGAAGCAAATAAGACAAAAATGAAAACCACAAGAAAAGTCGAAAACAGACAATTGATTTACTTTCAGTGTTTTTACTGCAACAACAGAGTTAAAACGTTTCCATACAGCTTCATATACATCACCATATTGACCACAGCCTAAACAAAGTAACAAAAACAACAAAAAATAATTTAAGGCTTATGTTTGTTGAAATACGATTGCACACGGAATAACAGCCTTGTGGGTAATAAATATTAAAATAACTACTTAAGCAGACGAATGATGAACGAAGTACTGTACCTTTAAAAGGTTTCTAAATAACAATATTTTACTAGCTAACCAGTAATGCTGGAACTGATTGTCACGCATTTGTAAAGTAAGAAGAATAAGCTTTGCAAAAACTGCAATGAGTTCGTTGTACTTCATTGTTTTCTGTGCATTTACGTACACACGGAGAACTGGAAAATATTATCAGTATGGAGGTTATGGAGATAGTTGAATATTATTGAGATCAAGAACTGATCAAAGTTAAATAATCACTGAAAACCTGGAAGCCCTGGACAACTGTTTCATTCTGATATAGGATTTCTCATCAGTGAGAACCCACGACTGGAGACTGAACCAAGTACTATCGGTTTCGTAGTAAGGGATCAACCTCTAAACTGGTAATTCCGAATTCAATAGTTGGCAAGCCCAACTTTAATCAATACACAATATTGCGCAACCACCTTTTATTATCTTTGGTGGATACCATCCTCACATCCGAAATGGCTGAGTTTCATTGGTCATGGCTTCGCAATAGAACTCTGGAAATTTCGTCTTGAAGCCAGTAACTAGTGAAGACATGATAATATGACGAAACACATCTTTACGTTGTGTCATGAAAAATTTAAGATGATAGTTAATTTAGCCGTAATGCAAAGCGGTCGATCATTTTAGTTGATAATACATCATACTTATGAGCACAAGATAATATGATGGTTATTTAGCAATAAGTAGATAGACAGATACATCTCTACTTAACACAAACTTTTAGAAGTGGAAATTACTAGGTTACGTGAAGCATTAGGTACTTGCTCGAGAATATAGCACTCATTTTTGCATTCCTTTTTAAAAGAGTCAAAATAGTATTTTCGTTTACACTATCCACTCAGAAAAATAACTTTCTTTATGTCGTACCTTTTATTAATCTACATTTTGTACGTTCTTAAGAAATGTGATTAACCTCCACAAAACGCGGTGATTTAATTATTTGTAAGGGATAAACATTTATGCAAACTGATTCTTAAATACCTATGGCCTATTAATTAAACTGACGTTTAGATACCAGGTAGCTAGTTCGAATATTAGGTTAGATATCTCAGTTAGAGTTAACTGGCTATTATCACTAGCTGTCACACAAAAATTTTGACTCCAAGTTGAGCACATAACATCCGTTTAGTAAATAAATAAATAATTATAAATAACTAATATGGCAAAGTAAATTAACATAAAACAGATGAAATTTAGCTAACAGTGCAATCCGAGACTGACCAGATTTCAGTCAAAAATAGCAACAGGATAATAAAAACCGTTTCAAATTGAAAGCCTGTTAGTATATTGAGGTTAACCAGTCAAAAAACCAGTCGATAAAGACAAATTACCAATTTATAATAAATTGGTATATTTAACTAATGTATATGCCAAATTTGAACACTAGATACCCCAAGAGTAAGTCACCTTTCATCATTATATGCAATTATTTTCCATCCTATGTCAATGAACTATGCAATATAAATGGAATGAAAAATCTAGGAATACTAATGAACAGGAAAATAATTCACTCTCTTTTAATTGAATAAAATAACCCTGTCGGTTTTTACATGAGCTATATAGAAGGAAAATAGTTCCGTTACTGATAGACATTACAGTAGTTTTGCGAATAAATAAGGTTTACATTGTCTACGATAATACAAAAATGTTTGTGAAATCTTTAAACCACTTATAATAAAAAGGAAAGATTAACCGCTATAAGTAAATAAAAGTTATAAGTTCAAATGACAGAATCTTAAGTGAAAGAATAAACCTTAAAACACTTCAAAGACCAAAACGAAAGATACCTTGACGAGACTTATATTAAACAATGTTATTATTTGAGCTAGTCACATCACATTGCTTGAATGGTTGACTAGAAATCGAAACAAATTACTTTTTATTGTAAACTGAGAACTCGTGAAAATAGAATTATATGCAAAATGTTAAGTTTATGATTATAATAAATAGTAAAAGATTAATTATCCTGAGATTTCGTCAACTCATCCCCTAGTAAATTCGTCTCCTCATCAATATACTAACTAAGTAGAAGAGAAAACACGCAAATGTATAACAAAACAAATCAAAATTCTCTGGATAACAACTGACATATATTAAAAAGCCTATAAAAGATAACAACCTGTTCACTTACCCAATTTTTGACGCATAATAATTTCGGACCTATCAATTTCCCATCCATCAAATTCCATACTTCCGATAGAATCACTACAAGCACTTAATCTTTCTGAATTGTTTATATGACTTGGATGAAATGGTCTGGGCACATGTGATACGGGATTTATATGAGTTAAAGGGAAGTTAGATATTTCAGCATTTGATTGATGAACAATGGGATTGACTTCAAACTGATTTTGACCAGGTATTCTTGAACTGGGTAGTGTTTGAGGGACAGATGAGTAGCAAGATTGTTGCATGGGTTGATTTAAAAATTGCGGTTTCGGTACTGAATAAAGAAGTGGACAAACCAAACCATCAGCAGAACGAGAATGGTGTTCAATTAGTTGAACGACGGTCGGGAATCGATGAGCTTCCGTTATATAGAACTAAAATTAAAAGGAATGTTTTAAAAATACTTGGCGATATGAATCTGGATGGTATTAAAAACTGTTTTTATTGTAACTGAACAATGAGTTTAATTGTTAGATGCTGCACTTAATAATATCTCTCATATATCAAGGTCTTAAGAAACTCGAAAACATTTACACTACGATTTTATCGAATCTCGAGAATGTCTGCTGAATTAAGGATATAAGTTTAAAGGATGTTACGTTGAAAAATCCCTCCCCCGAAATAAATAATCAACGAGAGTTAACAACTTGAAATATAATCAATTGATGAAAATAGTCGCAAAGAAAACTGCTCTATTCTGAGAAAAACACCTCGTTAATAGTACAGAAAAGAATACTCACATGCATATTTTAACGAGTGTGACTCCCAAAGATAAACAAGTCACTAGTAAGGAAACAAACAATTAATGTATAACCCAAATAAAATAATAAACCGGTGACACCGTTTCAAAAAACCGAGTTTCGATGGTTTAGATATGTGTTACGATTGTCATCCCATACATCCCAAACATACTTTTCCAACAGTAGGATTGGGTAGAAACGACGGAGAGGTGGTTAAATTATGGCATAGTGTCGAGGTTTGAAAGAAAGCTGCATTGGACTGGAATTGTTCGGCCCATCACGAATCTACAGTTGGATTCATAGACGTTATTAAACATGGCTCAAGATATAAGATAAAGACGTTCCCGCGACAGCTTTTTTCCTACATTCTTCACAAAAGTGAAACTTTTTCGAATGAAAGAATTCTTCCCAATTGCAACTTTTTAACTGCACTTATCTTTATTTATTTGTCTGTTTTGATTATACCCCTCTCCTTAGTCGCATAGTTTATTTTTGTGCCCATTCTTTTTTGAAATAATATAATTGAGAGCTCTAAAGATGCATCTAGTAGGCCGAAACCTACAGTATATTCACATAATGAATAAATAATGTTAATTAGTATAATGAAATCTTACAGTAAGTGGTCATTATTGTCAAATCAAAATAACCATCTAAACAACTTCAAGTAAAATAAGTTCAGTATTATCGATATCTAACGAAGGAAACTATGCACAAAAGCAGAAAATAACAAAAGTGTAAAACATGTCGTAAACTTATTGATATATTATTTTCCAATGAAAAATATAAACTACTTAGAGAAAAAAAGAAGCCATGGATTTCTTGAAAGATAAGGCCTAATGACTAATACAAACTGTAACAAACAATGCCGCAATATGTATAATATCGATTAAAATCAATTAGTAATGAACACACATTTAAGTTAGAATATTTTAATCACGAGAAAAACAGTATCTCATTCACATAAAAATATGACAAATAATTGCCTGTCGAAAAGTTTGTGTGTACATGCACCAAAAGAAACAATTTCAGGTTAGAAATGAAAATCTCGAACAACTGTTGTCGACAACACAAAATGTAACCTTGTAAATTTTTTAGCATTGATTTACAATAACTTTAAAAACCAATTTTAAAAATATAAAAATACATGAAGTTTTAATAAACAAATATATATATGTGCACAGTCACTAGAAACAGATACAGAGAACAACTAATTTATGTGTACTGTTGATCATTTAAAACAGCTGTCAGAAAGTCTCTTTCAGTCTTGGTAAGCTTCTAGAAATGATAAAATGTATATTCTTGTACTCTATTTACTTTAAAAAAATTTTATATACACATTTATTGAATAAATCGATTGTGTAGCGTGAGGGTGCGATTATGAAGACACATGTACAGTCATATCTCATTAGTGATGAATTGACATTTACAAAAGTACAGTAGCTCACGTAAATGGAATTGAACTAAGTGGAAGAAATCTAAAAAAGACTTACTTTGAGTTCTCTTAATGTAAAGTAAGACAAATGCTACTGACCAATGCTCACTGGTTTTGATTGTTCCGCTAAATGGTAGTTTCCTAATCACAATTATTTTAAACTGTATATTCATTTCATTTTATCAACTTACATTTATTTTATTAAAATCATGAACCGATCTAAGTTGGACCGCCGTTGAAAACACAGATGAATTGAACGATCATTTCGCGCAATGTCGTAAATTGTTTGAAGTTGGACAATAGCGCTGTTGGATGGAGGTTCATTGGTCTACAGGCTAAGCGTTCGCTTGCGAGACCGAAGGTATTGGGTTTAATCCCCACGTGCGGTGTCGTGGATTTGCTCTACTGAGAAGTCCCATACTAGGGCGAAACGGCCGTCCAGTGCTTTCACGTTTACAATGACGATCTAACATAGATCGGTTCATGATTTCAGTGAAATTCAACAATCTCCACAAACCTACATTGACAATTACACTATTTTTGTTTAAATTGAGATAATTTTTTCGCTTTTTTGATCAACACAATTCGAGTACCACCCAACTGATTATAGTACAAATAATAGAAAGAACTTCGTCTCAATAATAAGCATTACAAATATACAAAATTCAAGCATCCCTAAATCATATCAAGTGATATATTTTTAGTTGGATTAAAAATTAGTATTTTCTCCTTGTTAAATGCTAGGAGATAATTCAACTAAACGATAAACTGAAAAATTAATTTCCGGTTAGGTTCTACGTATACAGTAAAAATGGATATCAACAGTTGGCGAAATATTATACAGTGACAGTTCAACCCATATGAATAACATTGCTTATTTCAAACTAATTTAAGACTATATGAACAGTTCTGAAAAAAAAGGGACAGAATATGACTAGCAAAACCCAGTAAGCAAATCGGATTGACTTAATAACATGTCACATGTGATTGCAAAAACATGATAAGAAGATATCATTTAATTAGTTTAAAGTTTTGATTTTCACTTGACTAGGTAATTTTTAGGCCATGACAGATAAACTGTTATTTGAGAAACCTTTTTCGGAGAGCACAAAAATAGGACTGAACACTAATTATACACACAAAATTATCCAACAGTCTTAAAACATTTCCTACCTAAAAGTCGACCTTTTCAAATATACAGATGTATAGATATGGACATGTTTGTTTGTGAACAACAGTCAGAGAAAATATGTCCACGAATATATGTTTAATAGATGCACATGATTAACTGTTACCCTTTATTTAAAAATATACAGTTCTTAAAGTATGTGAATATAAATTAGATGGTAAACTTCAGGACAGAACTAGATATACACATTTACGTGTACCATATATATATATATATATATATATATATATATATATATATATATATATATATATAGGAATCGGTATTACGTAACTTTGAATGGTCGATTACTGTGTAAATGTGACATAAGTGCTTCATCTAAAATAAGCAAATTATAAATCTCCCAATAGATTTTGTCATGTCTGGTGAAAATATAGGTTATACTGGAAAAAGATAGACAATTCCGAATTATAATCTTATAAAAATCAAATGAGAAAGGATGAAGTTCAATTGACATTGTACGGACCATTCTGGACAAGGCCAGTCCACCTAGGGGAATCGGAATGGGATCGTAATGTAGATTATATTTCAGTATTCCTCTGGTTATGTAGTAATTAGCCTACAGCTAATGTATAGATTATGTTTGTGGCCAAGTATATCTTTACTGATCATGAAAATGATAAAGTTATGTAGCTCATATTTGCTTTCTTATACCATAAGCACTAAAAAAAATCAAAGGAAAACAGTAGTATTTCCTTAGAAATTTTCAGTTTCATGTAACCCAAGGACAGTTTTCTATAATCTAAAAGGTTTATTGTGTTCCAGACGGTGGTTTCCGTCCCGATGAATCCTGTAATCGCTATTGTGCCTTTTTGAGAGTGTGCAATATTCTTTAGGACTCCAGTTATCCCCATCATGAGTTTGCTCGGGTCATCAACCTACCAAATATTTTTAGTATTTATGTTGACTAATAGATGGAAAGAGATGACAGTATTTTCAAAGTCGTCACACTCGTGAGCGTTTCTCTGGAGCAGGAAGGCGATTGACTGTGTAAGTCACGAAGCAACAAACATAATATTCTTCATTTTATGTAAATGCGTAGATACACTAATTAATCATTAAGTACTAACCAATGCCATGTTTATCTAATCATTAATGCTATTCGAACTTTATAGATCGATTTGTTCCGTGGTCACCAGTATGTTATTCGGCGTCGCGTTCATTGTTTTGATTTTCTGTGATTAGGCAAAGTCAGGCAAGTAATCACGTTCTTGTCCTATCTGTGGACTCTGACAACATGCATTTACCCCACGAAAATCTAGAATATTAGTCAATAAAGCTAACACCATTTAAGATCGATGCAGTGAATGATCCAGTCAGTAGTTAGGAGAGCACTTCCAAGAAACTAGTCTCGTTTGCAGAAAAAACAAAGCTAGAAAGGAAGTGTTTGTGATATGGATGATGAGGAATCTAATGAGCAAGGAAGGCAACTGTTAAAAGATTTAATTAGTACTGGAGATATGAGGCCGACCGGAGCTGCTACCTTGACGCGGTGGTCGGGCTTGCCTATCGTGATGACCCAACCGAGCTATATTGGCTGGAACATATGTTCCTGTATGTTCTACAATGCCAGGCAGGTCGATTGGAGAACGGTAAGACTAAAAGCAGCAACTCAAGGTCTGAGGGCGAAGTCGTACTGCTGACTGTAGAGGGGTGTGACAGCAGTAAGGTCTTTCCCTCAGACAAACAGGCTTCTACAGCGACGCTGCCTTCCCACAAGGAGGGATGGGGTAAGAAAAGGTCCACCCTAAAAATGTCACACCTCACCTCACGGATTTCCGTCTCCGGCGGTAAGGCCCTTTGAAGAACGGAGCTAACACGTCAAAAACCTCCCACAAAAAGGCCGTGCGCAACCGGCCTCAAGCAGTTGTCCCTTGGGCTCTGCGGTCACGCTCCCAGGTCGTCAAGACCGACACTAATCCAATTTCCTTTTCAGGTTCCTCAAGAAATACCCTTCCACGGTGTGGGCAGCCGGGAAGTGACATCAGCCCTCATACCCGTGACAGCACACGA